GAGTTTTCTGTAGTGCTTATCACAGAGCGATATCAAGAAGAAAAGTAACACTGGAGTGTTTCCAGCTGTAAAATCTTTTATTTCTCCACTAGAACTATAAAATGATCTCCGAAGTTCGTTTCCATTTTAAAATGAAGAAACTGAAGCTAGGGGTTATGAAGTCATACATCAATAGAAGTACCAAGACAGCCTGAGTACCAAGACAGCTTGTGGTCACTTTATCCTCCACTTAAGTAGAAAGTTTTTGCTTCACCTGTCCCAAGATCCTGACATTAAGAAAGCTCCAATGACAAACGTCTTTGGATGTCCTCCCTCACATCAGAAGTAAAAGGAGTCTTGCTGTCTGTCCCCTTTCTACCAGACCTTTCTCATCGTCCCCCACCGTCATAAAGGCTCTTTCTTTCAGATACCTCTTCCTAGCAAGAGACCACTCAAATGGATAGGTGACACATTTCCCCCTTAGTTAAAACATACTCCAGTGATTTTGCCCTGTGTGCACTTTTGGAAGAGCTCTCACTATGTAGCTGAGGTTGTGCTTGAGTTTGGAGCAATTCTTTTGCTTTAGTTTCCATGTGAAAGGGAGAGGGAAAGGGAGGGACATTGGGGAGTGGAAGGAAGAGAGTGGGGGGGGGCATGAACCACCATATTTGGCTCTCAACTTTTCTTGGATATGTATGGATTTTTTTGTTTGTTTGAGTTACTTGTGTCTTCAAGGATAGATTTCATACAAGAATGAAGATGAGAGGGTCCATTCTTGTTCAGGTTGCTATATGATGAGTTGTCTATCTTATACAGATATCATTTTCGTAGCAACTACATGATCTTTACTTCCCACCTTCCTGTCATCCTATGCTCTCTTTTACATGTGATGTGCTTATTTTGTAAGCAACTGACAATTGCATGAGATTATTGAGAAATCATAAATGTATTTTTATATTCTGAGAGTGGCTACTGTGATCAGACATGGTCAGGCACACTGTCAAAAGCACGTGGCTTCTCTCCACCAGTTCTGCAACAAGGATATGGAAGAGCAGATAAAATACAAATGTCAAGGTTTCCTATCTATTTCTTTAAGTGCTAAAGACACACAGCAACAAACATTTTTACATAGTTTGTAGACCTTAAAATTATCACTCTCTTTCTTTTGCTGCTTGATAATCTATGTGCTGTCTAAATTAGGGCAAGCAATTAGGATATAAGTAAATTTCCTTAAAAACTGGAGATTTCCTTATTTAAGTGTAAAGTTTATTTTCAACAGAAGGTATTTTACACATTACACATTTTTCTCCTTTTGATTACCCATAGTTGACACTATTTTCAAAGGCAGTTACAGTACTTTGTTACTGTAACTCTGATCATTAGAGTGATAGCAAAGATGTGCTGATGGGAGTGTCTAGTTCATCTGTCCGTTCATGTATTCCACAGACCATGGTACCAAGTAAGCCTCCAGGAAACAGAACACCCTGACTACTTACAATGCCTTTTATGTGAGTGGCTACACCCATGCTTGCTTTTGCATCAAGCAGGCTCTAATCTGTTCCTTTACTTTAGATATATGGTTTGAAGATAGATTCTCAGATGAATCTATCTGTCATATCTGCTTCTCAACCAGAACTCTTACTTTATTTCTTGATGCATGGCTATGCTCCACATGGTAGCCTTGAAAGGCATCTGATTTACACAGAAGTGGAAATTGTCTCTATTGCCCGCTCCAGTTTTCAAACCAGATGTATAAAATTGAATGCCCGAACTTAAATTATCAAAACAATCAACACATATACTTGACTTCTAATTACAAAAAACATGTGCAACCTGCAGTTTAAATCATAGAAGATATGGGACTACATATGCATTCATTAATCATGAGGTATTTAATCTGATTATGTTGAAATATTAAATACCACTACTGTTATGTTTTAAACCTTTCATACACTATTTGTAGTTTTATGAGCGTACATTTTCTTACATAAATGTTAATTTCATTAAACTCATTCAAATCTTGGAATCATCCAGACATTAAAAACTTATTAAATAAACGATGAAAAGAATTATTTTTCATCATTTTCAAAAATATTCTTAATGTGGCCCTTACATCCAGACAAAAGGAAAGAAACTGTGTACAGTGGATATGCTCCTTCGGCAAGCTGAAGCCTCTTGAGTATCCCGTACAAAGTCTGTGTACTTAACAACAACACTGCCATCATTCATCAGGATGCCATTTGAAGAGTAAGAGCGAAGCCAGGAGTTGTAGTGCACACCTTTAATCCCAGTACTTAGGAAGCAGAGGCAAGAAGATCTCTGTGAGTTTGAAGCCAGGCTGGGCTGCATGTTAAGTTTCAGACCAGCTGAGAATATATAAAGGAAGACCCAGTTTCAAAAAAAAAGTTATCAGAAAAAAAAAATCCAGTACTTCTTTGGTATTCTAATGCTCTTCATTCATAAGAAAGCACAAGACATTGGTATTGGCAGATTTTATTCGGATAATAAGAATGTTACATCTCCATAAACATGCTCACATTGTATCTTTTTCTTATAGCAATTATCATCACTTGGAGACATATATCAAAGGTTTTCATGGCTCAAACTTTACAGCTCTGGAGTCTGTTTAATAGGAACATAATTTTAAAAAAAAAGGAAAAAAGAAAAATAGAGATAGTTTTTGCTTTTTATAAAGGCTGTCTTTAGAAAGCTTGCATTTTATGCAAATTTACTAGATTTCCTCATATGTAAATTACAAGAAGATAAATAAATCATAGGTAAAAGACAGGAAAACTGGGTTTCCCTAGGTACAATTTATTAGACTTTTGTTAGTATTTATGTTTGAGCATGTTATTTCTTGATTTCATCATTATCTCACTCTGTATTGCTGCTACACTTTGGGACAGAGATCACATTAGAAAGCAAATTTTATAAATTATGTTCTTAATAAGTGGAAAAATAATAAAAGGCTTAAGATTGTAACAATTTATTATAACATAGAAACTATCGCTACCGCATATGGTATTAATCTATTGTTTTGTTATTTTTTCAGTCTTTTAAAATTCATTTTCCTATCTACAGATAAAAAATAACTAGCAACTAAAAGCAAGAATGAGAATCTGTGGTTTAAAAATCCTTCTATGATGGACAGCCTTGAATTGCATCTCCAGGCTAGGACACACTGAAAATTATGACTTTGCCGAAATGACTTAGCAAAAGTCCTTACCGCCAGTCTCTTCCTATTAAATATGTCTTGCCCCAAATAGAAAAGACATCTCTCTAGAAAAAACCCAGAATTTCATTGTTTTGCTTCAAAGCTTTAAATAGCTTTAAAGCTATTTTATACACACACAAAACCAAACTTATTGCTTTCATGTAAACCTAAATCCTTTAATATATGCCTCAATATACTATGTAAATTCTATCTCTTACTAAGCAACTTAGCATCTTTTCAATTCTCCTTCTGCAATAGTAACTTAATCAAATCATGGACCACTGCCAACAACATCATCCTCCACCTCATGTGCGTATGTGAACACTTTCCTTCTGCCTAAGTAGTCCTTATTTTTCTCACTCCTAGCCCCTACTCAAATAGCACATTCTCTGTGAAGTTTCCTAGTCCTCCTTCTCCCAGAGTTTGTTCAATTCCTCTGTATTCTATAGTTCTTTGACTAAACCTGCAGTTTTGCACAAGATATTGCCCTACTTTACCCCCTCCTTCCTCACACTCTTTGTCTTTTCAAGGTAGAGACTATCTTGTCTTTGAATTTAGAGCCCAGCACACAGTAGAACTTCAATCGATGTTTACTGACCAGAGGAAAATCTATTATGTGACATTGTCTTTCTATGACTTAGAAGTCATACTGTGTATTACACTAGTATGGGTGAGATCTTCCTATCCAAATAACTACTAGATTGATGAAGAACCTAGTAAAATCATACCTTTTTCCTAATTACTTCTACCACTTCAGTTGGAAAGAACAGTTGTAACTACAGCGCATAGGTAAGCTCCACTGGTAAAGAGAGAGACTTCTTGTATTTTTATTTACTATAAATTGTGACAGAGTCATAAGTGACAGGAAGGCTCTTGGTTTAAAAACTGTAACAGTATATATATATTCCATTTAACCTTTGTGAGATATTTGAAAACATGGCTGCTAATGCTTTGATTGTCAAGGATTACAAGCATAGACCAGACAGAGTTGTTGTTTTTTTTTAATTCCAAGAAATATAATTCTATCATCCATCCACCTCTGCATCCACCCATTCATTCATCCACCCATGTATACATCTACCCATGCAGTCATCCATCCATGAATGTATGAGCTATTAAAACTCTAATGTCTATAATTCTATATTCATGAAGATTGGATTCCAAGAAAATGTAAGAAGTCCCAAAGATCCTACAAGAACTCAGACTTGACCAAAAAGAATTAGTTGGGATGGCAGAATGGCTCCCAAGGTAAAGTTGCATGCTGTGCATGCCTGATGACCTTATCGGATAGAACTCATGGTGGAAGAAGAGAACCAAATGCTGAAAATTATTCTCTGACCTCCACCTACCCACCCTCACAAATACATCATGCACAGGCATGCCTAGACGCATTGACTCTCACACATACACACTCATACTTGCAATATATAATAAATAATACTTGAAAAATGATCTGAAGGATTTAAGAATAGCATGTCTGATGAACACTAAAGTTAAGTTTCTCCGAAAGTGCCATTTGACTGGGTGTACTCCTTACTCTTTGTATGTCACTTCCCTGTATGGACAACAGTTTGGGACATCACACTTAACTTTAAAGGGGCCCAACAATTTGGAGGATAAGTTATTTTTTTAAACATTGAAAAAAGGGAGCACTGAAATTCCAAATGATACTTCAACACTATTCCCAGTGAAAGCATGTCAATGGTAGCAGCAGTCCTGTACACTTGTTTGTTTGATTTGTTCAGAAACAAGAAAACCTACGGAGTTAAGATACGTGTAGCTTTGACACAAGATAACACAGATCTACCTTTGCTTCTGCTGCATGGGCTGCTGTCTCATAGCCATATACTGCATGTCTTCTTGTAGACGGTTAAGAGGAGAATCTGGCTTCACACGAATCCCATAGTAATGGTACTTGGAGTTTCCTCTTCATAAAAGAACAATAAATATAGAAACATGAAAAGTCAGTAAGACTAATATTAACCATTAACTTCACACAGGAAAATTTGGTTAAAATATTATACTAACATTTCACATTTATTATTTCTCTTTTCTGGATACCTATTAATTCTATAGTGACATTCCAAAAATCAAAGTAAGATCCCAAAACAATCACCTCAAGGGTAACATTTCCTATAAGCATTCACTTCAATATTTATCTGATATTTGTCCTACTCATATTAATTTATTTTCTAATATATATTTCAAATTTAATTTAGACGGGGTAATGGTTGGAAAGAGCCAGTCACAATCTAATCACAGCACAAATCATGGTACACTAGACAGCAACTTGCCATAAACACACAGAGAAAAGAAAAATCTATAGTTTTATATTAATTGTGTGTTTAATTTAGAAATGATAGTATAATATCATTGTTAAATGCTATGATGGTTTATTATTTAATGTTTTGAAACAGAAAAAGGAAGAAGATACTTAACATGTATCTTTTAAAATATATTTTATCATTGATTTTATTGATTCATATCTGTTATTTACTAATAAGATATAATACCATAAAAGATTGGGACATTTCCCCCTAAAAATGGTCAAGTCCTTCTGGAATAAAAATTTTGGAACTTCTTAGTGTTCATGAAAAATACCATGCTTGATATTAGCAATGACAATTTTTATACTGAATGGAACTTGCAAATTCTTACAAAATTAACATTTTAAATATGTAAATTCTTGCAGAGAGACTAGTTTTTCACAAGTCTATATATAGCAATATGTCAGTGAGTGCTTTTCCAATTTTTTCTTTCATTTACGAAGAGAAATTTAAGTGGTGTGTGGATTAAATATTTTTAATGAAAATAGAGAATTTGACTTCCAAGACTAACAAACATACATTAGATGAGCCATACATTTGAAGAGACATTAAAGCCATCAAATCCCTGCACTTTCAAGAAAATGAAATAGAAGTAGAAACCTAATTGCCTGCAGAGAAAGACCTTCCACTTTAGAGATTAGATCTTATTTATAAAACCCACTGAGATTAGAGGAAAAACCTACAATAAAACCTACCCCAAACACACCTGGTGGTGTTCTATACAAACTAGAAACTGTAGTGAGAAAAGGGAGGGTAGGAAGCAGGAGGCATTAATCATGGGAAAATGGACAAAGTAAATTGATAATTTTCTTCTGAGACGCGGTTTCTTACAAACTAGGATTGGGTGGAGTGAGAGGTAGGTCTTTTTATCCCACTGGGAATGGACAGGGAAGAGAAGTACACCCAGAGTCATCCTCAGTCAGATGTAGTTTAGAGATGGGATCTATCAAAACATACCCTTTGCATTGCCTTTGGTAGAAATGCAATGGTTTTATTTGCTTTTTGTTTATGTAAGTGCCAAAAGGAGTTTTGGATAATTTCACTAGACAATCTTGTTGGCACATAATGTTTCTACAGACTGTTCACTTAAAAACAAACAAACAAAGAACCTTGAAATTTAATCTGCCTCTTGATCTATACTGATTTTCCTTCCATTCCTTGGAAGAAGAGTGAAAAGCTGCTGTCAGTTCTCACAGCAGAAGGATCTCTGAGATTTCATCCCTAATACCATCAGCATTCTCTATTAGCATCCCCCAGCTTCCTAACATGCCATTTGTTTAAACTCAACCTACAGCATTTATTCCCTCCTTATTCTTTTAGGCTTTCCTTTCCAACTCAATTGCGAACACCACATAGAATGTTAAAAGAATTAGGAGACAGACTCCTTGGGGTAGGGAATCGAAAGTAAAAAACGGCAATACTGCAGAATGTACTTGTAGAATATGGATTCTACTCATTGACAAACCCAAACAACCCCAATTTTGTCCCTTTCTATTTTAAAGATGTGTTTCAAGGTTTGAATAGAGCCTCAAAATAGGATCCATTGAAATCCTTTTCAGTAACAAAAGCAGTCCAACAATACAGCTATTAGAATGTTGACTAAAGCCTAGAGTTTCAAAATATTGGCACCATATGTGCAACTACTGAGCCATCAGCTAGGAAATACTAGGTTAGGTCTCCAAATAATGATTTTCCTGGTTTGGGGGAGAGGAAATACAAGAGAAACAAAAGTTCTTCTTTTCAAAGGAATGAAAGCTAGTTTCTTCAGTCTGAATAGACAATCACATTCTGCAATTTAAAATATACTACCTTTTGAAGTACCAAAAGAATATATTTATGAAAGAACTGAACCTCTGGCAATTTGAAAGTTGCACATTTGCTTCAAAGCAAGCAAAAGAAAAAATTCACAGTTCAAACACATACAAACTCTCCTAAAACTAACACAGTAATGAGGTTCTGGGCATACTATCCCAAAATATGGTACCAATATTAGAGAAAACAGCAGAAACAGGGGATGGAGTAGAAAAATGCTCTCACTTCTTATGCAGTGAAGTGGGTGATAAAATGTAGCTGATATTCCTTTGTAAGTAGGTCTTAGGACCCTCATGCCAGAGGGGCCTTCCTCCATCTAGAGGAAAGGAGTATCTTTTTGTCTGAGGACACAGCATGGAATCTGAATGAAGGGCCTTCCTGGGCTACCCTTCATCCTATTTATAATTTTAGATCACTTTGCCCAATCATGCTTCTCCAGGAATGTCCGCTTCTTCAGAGTTAGTATAAAAATCACAATTTTTCATTTCTTTGATTCTTTATATATAAAGGCATCACATTCTATAAAAATTATACTACAGAAATTCTTTCCTACTTAGCTTTTATTTTCTACTTGGGTCACCTGAGAAGAAAGCCCTCAGTGAGAAACTGACTAGATCCGATGGGCCTGTAGGCATGTCTCTGGGAGGATAACTTTATTAATTGATACAGGCATGTCCAGTCCAGTGTGAAGTGGTACTCTGCAAAGGCAGGTAGTCAAGAGCCTGAGTTAGCCAGCAAGAAGCATTCTTCCATGGTTCTGGCCTCCAGGTTTCTGCCTTTACTTTCCTGGTCCTGACTTCTCTCAATGATGGACTGAGACTTGGAAGTGTAAATCAGTTAAACTCTTCCCTCCCTAAGCTGTTTTTGGTCGCACTGTTTATCATAATGACAGAAAGGAGGCTGGAACACATGGGTATGTGTTTCCCATGTTAAACTGTGTTTGCTATAGGGAATCTGAGCCATGTTTCTGGAGATGGTTAGGGGCAGATTAGTCGTTTCTCTCTGAAAACATTCACTTCTCCTTTCAGCATAAACTCGTAATGATGTTAAACAGGGTATAACAGAGAGGAAAAAAAACAAATAACCTTTGTCCTGTAAGCCTTTGAGGCAGTGACTTACCACTAAAGATCTATCACCCAATGTATAGTGCAGCATCTCTAGTTTAATGTTTTGTATATGATTCCTGTATGATTTAGAAAGCCAACGGATTCACATATTTTCCCTAACTACTTAATGTATTAGTTTTCAATTTGTAAAAACCATAGAGAATAAAAACGAAGTTCCAAGGCTCTAAATTTTCTTTTCACCATATTGGCTTAGAAAACAACATCCATTGTTTCTGAAGGAAAGAAACCCATGAGACTGAAAATCCCTCCGTCACATCTCTGGTCCCTAACGTGGAAATTTTCACAATCAAGAGCAAGAGAAATGATGAGAAGGATTAGAAGGCTAGTAAAAGGTAAAACAGGGCCATTAGCAAGGACTTCAAATATGCACATTTTACAAGTTTATCAGATAAATTCCTTTAATTTACCCCAGAATTACAGAATAAATTTGAAACCTCCACCTGAATTTATTCTTCTAGTGAAATACTTTTCATAAAAATAACTAAATGTATTTTAAAACAATAAGGAAGTGCTTAGTTTCCCATTACTATGTCACTTTATTCATGTTTAATGGGTTTATTTTCAAAAAGCAATGACAGTGGTATACAGCAATGTTCAACAGTATCATATGCAAATCTCGCGTGAACAGGCTTCCCTTCTCATTTCTATGCAGTCTGAAAACCATTCTGGTGATATTTACTCACTGAATAAAAATGTTCCTTTTCCTATGGACTTTATAAAGTGACTTCATTCTATATTTATCTCCTTTATAAATATTTTTTCTGAAATCAAGTACATTTCTGTTCACTGTACAACATGGCTGTAATTTGACAAAGAAAGACCAACTATTATGTTGACTGTTAGTACTAACCTAGTTCCTAATCTCCTAGTCCGTAGCCCCATAAAAATGGACCTTATTAGTTTTCCAAAAGAGGCAGCGTTGACTGGGTCCAGCTTGTGTTCCTGACAGTGTCGAAGATAGTGATTGTACAGCGTGCTTCTCGGAAGGCTGACCCCTTCTGCTGTCTCATAATTGTCCAGCAGCCACTGGAGCTGTTAAGATAAGAGAGAATTCACGTAATTTGCCAAAACCTTGGCAAGATACAGTATGTACAAATACTTGGAAGTACTTCATTAACTCTTAGGATAAACGGGGATTATCCAGAAACTGCTAAATCTGACTTTCTAAGCTCTGGGAAATGTCACAGCAGTTATCAGTTTAGACAGTATCTTATCTTCAAATTTTCAAGCATAAGTAGAGATAATAATTTTCCCTATATTGACTATAATCATGGAAACATATACTTCTTTAAAGAATTCAAATAACAGCATTCACTGGTCAAAATTAATAATATAAACACATTATTTATAACTGTTATAAAACAAAACATTCTACTAAGCCTGGCAACACAGCAGCTAATATATCCTCAGCCTGGTAACATGGTATCTAATTCATCTTTGGTGTTGCTTTGTTAAAATACATAAACAGTAGGGTTACTTATATGAGGTTTTAGATTAAGATTTTATTCATTTTTCCTCCCAGATTGAGCCAAGCATCCCTGCATAAGTCCCAGGTTTCAAACAGCTAACTCATGCAATGAGCCAATCTGGGAGGAGAAGACTGGACCTGCCTGGATTGAGTCTATCAGGTCGATCCCAGTCCTGGGGGACACCTTGATCTGGAGGAGGTGGGAATGGGAGGTGGGCTGGGGGGAAGGGGAGGCGGGCAGGAAGGGAGAGAACAAGGGAATCTGTGGCTATTATGTAGAACTGAATAGTATTGTAAAATAAAATTAAATTAAATTAAAAAAAAGATTTTATTCATTTTTACAGAATTACAATTTATTTATCTCCAATTACCACTAGACAATACAATAACATTACTATCTACTGGGACAAATGTTGCAAATAGGCAAAATTTAGTCATTCTTCCTTCCAAAGAAGTACACCCACTAGAGGTTACAAATAACTTCTATATAACAAAAGGCAATATTTTTTACAATCATCTCAATTTTCTACCTCAAAGTTGAGGTGTCTTTTTTCCTCAAAATTTTGGAAGGAACATTACCATGCTAAGTAGTAAATAATGTTTTTTCACCTATAGCTTACATTTTAAACTTTTATATTGCACTTTATTTTTTGAAAAATGTTTAAATTTGGAGTGTACAAGAAAGATCTCTGCATATATATATGTATATATGTGTATATATATGTATATATGTATATATATGTATATATGTATATATATATGTTACTAAATTTCAATTTATTCATTTACTTCCTTACAAAAGAAGTAACATAAATGGAGATGATTTCCCCAAGGTTATATATTGTCTCTATGCCTGAGTGTGGTTTCTAATTCTTATTTCCTAGTTACTCTAGACCAACAGGCCATTAAAGCAGCAAATGTTTTATATTATTTGTCTCAACCATCTTCATGGAATGTATAAATGGAATAGTAAAGAGCAAACATTGAACCCAGATTGTAATTAAGTGTGAATTATTGAAGTAAAATAATTCAAAGATGAATGTGAATCTACCTGTCCTCTAGGTATTTACTCAAAGGCTAAAAGAGATGAGGATCTTGACATCCATGTAAATCAAAGAATTATTCTATTTTATCTATCAAATTTATGCATGTCATCTAAGACTTTTGATGAAACTTGGAACCAGAACTTTCAGATTTCTTCTAAAAATTATCAAAATGTTTCAATTATTTTTAAACTATAACAACTGAATTTTCTACAGCATTTCAAATTCAAACATCCCTACATAATCATTAAAAGGTTAAACACATCATCAAACTTGCAATAACTAATGGCTTTGAAATACACCACAAAGTATATAAGATACTTGTAAAAATAAAATTATGTCCCATTCAGGAAGAATTCTAGTTCCCTAAGGAACACATATCTATAGGAATATACAAACTTAAAATATGTATTGTGTCTTAAATAATTCAACACTATAAAACACTAAAAAGATTACACAAATTAGCTCTCCTTTTTTATACTGATAGAAAAAGTATTAAAAGTCATAAAGTAATTTTTTTCATAGTGTTTATTTTTAACCTTCATATCAGTAAAAGTTTTCCAGAGACACTAAAAAATGAGTGTTGTGTATTGAAAATAACACACAGCATATGTTCTATAGAGGCATCTGTTTAATATAAAACATCAGAGGTAAACTCAAACATGCATTAAGTCACTGAGGTCAAAGTCAGTACTCTACTTAGAACAGTGGGCTGGCATGCTTCTTTTGAGGTTTTCCTTTTTTAAATCTCAAGAATTTAAAAATATAAAACACAAGAAAGAAAGAAAGACAAAATACAGCAATACAAACCTGGCTCATATTTCATCCATGCGCCTCAGTAAAATGATCAGGATTTGAAAGTACTTCAAGTGGAATTCAAGTAGCCATGTGAACATATTGCACAGAGTTGAGCTACAGCCTAGTTAGAGCTAGTTTGAGCAAGAAACAATGGCCTTCTATGGGTATTTTTAACATGTTAAAAATAGAAACACAGACCCTTAATATCAAGGGTTAACAAGGAAATACTAAAAATAAAAAGCTCTTGGAAGAATTTTGTATAAAGTGAAAATATTTTAAGCAGTTGCAAATGGTGTGATAAATTTCTCATATCCACACGCACACATCATAAAACACATTTAAGTTAAATGTAGTAAAGGTGTGTGTGTGTGTGTGTGTTTGTGTGTGTGCGCGCGCGCGCATACATGTGTATGGGCACATGTGTATGTGTGCGTCCATAAAAGGCTTAATAACATGATTAAGAAAGAGGAGTGAAATGATCCAATGTTCTTTCCTTTTATAATGAGCAGGTGACATACTTACATAGAAAATCTTAAAGGACATTTCCGTCCAGAAATGGAGTAGTCAATTTTAAAATGTGAACTTTATAAATATAGTATACAAATAAAAGTAGATCAATACAAATATATAAATCAATACAAATGAAACAATACTACCATAGTTGTATACTAGTATCATTATAACACTTAACTACTTAGAAGTAAAAAAATAACCGGGTACATGAGCTTACTCATTTTTCAAGTCAAGGATAATATCTTAGAGATAAAACATTTTATAAAAGATTTTGAAAAAGCAAGTATAAATATTTGATAAATTTTAAACAGTGTGTTTAATAAAAGTGGAAGCTAACATAGGAATCAAAGGTCACCACAAAATGCTTCAAGTCCAACGATTGGGTGTGAGAGTATATCAGGCCTATTTTAGTAACAATTTTTATATATGTAAAAAATAAATCTTTCCTTGTGGCAAAAATGTCTTCTTTACTTGTAGCAAAAGGTGGTATAAACTACTTAGAATCCTAAATGATGTTACCCACACCACAGCTGGAGAATTCAGAGAAAATTAAGCTTTGTTTCAGAATAGCTATTTAATCCTTTTACATACAAGTGAAAATTTTGGCCTGTTTTGAAAGCTCATTTTCTTCCTATATTGTTTATATCCCCCCAAATGTTTATTTACAAAAAATATGAATTTACCAATGTGAACACACAACTAAGTATACACATGCATACCGCACAGCATACAGCTGTGGTTGGTTTGTAAGTTCCAGGACAGGTGTCTTGGTGACTTAGGACTTGACCATAGCAAAGCTACATTTGTTTCTACCTTCATCTCATCAAAAGGAAGCACTTTATTCCTCGCAGAAACATGGAGACTATGTGGGAGGAGAGAAGAGGGTCAACAGAAATAAACCCTGAAGATAGAGGGCCTGGTCTGCTGCTATGGAGTCCATACCATCTATGGTTATTATCCAAGAGACTTACTAGAGAAGCAATGCACCATCTAGAATATGCCAGAACAGACATGGAGACATAGCTGGAATATTTAATCTACATTCTACATATTACTATTTAATTTTCTGATTTTGACACATGATGAAATTATAAATCAGAATTAATTCTAAAGCACAGGACTAGGTAGTATTATTTTTTATTATTACAGAAACATAGCAGTTACATTTCTGTACTATAATGTAAAAGATGTTATGTCCCACATGCTGCCTACCCAAAGGAACTGAGTAACTCTTATAAGGTACATTGTTTCTTGCTGTTTTCCCTTTAACAGAATGCAGTTGGACATTAGAATTCAATACCCTTAACATTTAGAAGTTTAGAAAGCAACTATCTGTTTCTCTTATTTTATTCTTTTAATAAACTATTTTATAAAGTGGCTATATTTACAAAATTTAAAGCTTGTGAAGTAACATAGAAACTTTTGACCTTTATATTTGAAATCTAATTGTTCTAATAATGAACCAAAATATACTAATGTAAGGGTAGAAAGCAAGATAATTGCATCTTTCAACTTTGAATTTAATCTGTATTAATCAGAACAGATTACAGAGGATGAATGGTTCCTATTTTTCCTAAAGGGAAACATTAATCGACAAATAAAAATAAATAGATAATGTGCTGTCCAATTAACATCTAAATGTAACATTCGGCATATTAGAGATGAATTATTATCAATTAGGATTCACTTAAGTTCAGTGCACCTGTTGTACTTTTGACAGGCCTATATTAATTTTTATTTACAACACAGCCAAGTCAATGGTGGGTGAATGACTAAAATCCAAGATTTTTTTTTTTAAGCTAGATACATTTCAGTAGCTTAAGCTTGTAAGAATTATGAATCAACTGTCTGCTAGATTGTGGAAATTCTGAAAATATAAATGCCTAGAGGTTTTCATACACTTTAAGTGGAATTAAAAAAGAAACTCATGCTTAAGTGCACTATGCAAATGCTAGTAGCAATTAATTTCACAATAATTTTATGTTGAAATTTACAATCCAAAACATCCTAAATTGGATATAATACAAATACTAAATGGAAATGTATATTAATTACAGCTCAGAGTACAAAATAAGCTAAAATCTGTAACTAAAAGAATTAGATAATCTTTGGACTTAGGCAGTTCTATAAAATTATTAACAGCACCTTCACATACATATAAATTAAAAATAAAATACACACATAAAAGTAGTATATGAAAATAATTTTATAAAACTAAAATCAAAGCACATACTAAAATGCAAAGAGATGAATCATATCACTTTGGGGTATAACTTTTAAAGAATTAGACTACAAGGAAAAAGTTACTCTTAATCTTAAAGATGTATGCAGGAAATTTCAAAGTGAACTGCATATTCATCCTTCACTTAGAATGCCATAAGAGAGAACCCTCTACTAATATATACACACTGATTGAATGTTTGGGGACAAAAAGAGAAATCAATACAGTCTATGTACGAGTTCCTAACAGGCATTCATGTGACTGGGGAAGGAACCCTAGAAGATTAAAGAAAGGGTCTGTCTCATTCTATTGTTTCTGATATTCATCCACTAGATAATATTTAGTATGCATTTACTATTACGTACCAGCACTGTTCTAGGGATTAGGGTTGTGCTAGAATACAAACCACAAAAATCCTTATTCTTTTAGATATTTTTAGTAGTCAAATATTTATCAGTTGTCTATGGTGTTAATGTTGACATAATGCCACTAGGTTAACAAAAACAGACTAAAGCACTGTATGCAGCCTAATTCTCCTCAGCCATATCTGGAACACAGTATTGTGTACCAAACATAGAAATTTCACTTGCATTTTAATGTGAATGATAACGCATATTGAAAATAATGAATATGGATTGGTAGCATAAATATTCTTTAAAAAAACACTGGAAAGGGCTGGGAATACAGTGTGGTTAAGAGTGCTGGCTGCTCTTCCAGAGGACCTAGGCTTAAGTTACCAGCATCCACATGATGAAGATGGCAGCTTACAACCATCTTCAGTTCCAGGGAATCCACTGTCCTCCTATTTCCTCTCTGGGCACCAGAAATGCATGTGGTGCACATACAAACATTTAGGTCAACAGTAAAAATAAGTACTCTTTAAAAAAAGAATATACTCAGAGAATGGGTATAAAATAAAATACTGCTTCATCATCAAATGTGTGGAAAGAAGAGGAAAAGGAAAGAGTCAAGTTGGATTCTATTAGAAAGGGATTATTTACTTAATTTGCATGTAATAATTTTTCTGAGTTACTGTTAATTAAATGAATATGGATAATACAGGAAATAATTTCTGTACCATATCACAAAATAAAACAGGCTTTTATGCTTAAAAGTTACTATTAATATCCATTTTTAAAAGTTTGAATATAGACACATAGATAATGATCCCTAATTCTCTTCCTAATGAGATAGATCTTTTGTAGAAACTGCTAATTCAGAGAACTAATCATCATAAAGGTGAACTCAACTACCTCAAAGAACCCTATAAATCTCAAATAAGTTTATATTATATCCTCGTGATGGGTAATGGTAACATAGTTCATTAACATTTAAAATATGGGCAATACCTTTTAAAATATCGTTCCACTGTCAAATTGCTATGTGAAAGAAAATCACCAATGAAGTCTGAAGAATTTGGAACACCTTAAGAAAGAAGTCACCAGCCTGAGGACATGTACTAAGCAGCATTTTATTTATTCTCCTTTGCTTTTATTTCTATATTTTACTTTATTAGATATTATTACGTATTTGTTTGTTTATTCCAGCTGTTTGGGAAAATCCAATGAAAGTCAGGAGCATTAGGAACTTCCTAAGGGACAATGTAAATGTTTTCTGCATTCAAGGAGAAGCTAACCAGATGGGCATCAGTAGAACACTGATCCTGCTGCTAAACCATCTGATCCTGTTCATAAACCATCTCCAGAACCATTCTTGTTTCTAAAGACTGAACTCCCCCTACAGTTTTTGAACAAACCCGACCACTTCAGAGAAGCAATAAAAATGAGTGAAGGAGGAAACACAGATTATCAGCAGCACACGAGCAACATTTGTATCCACCCTCCCTCCATATGAAACACAGCTAAGCAGATGGAAGATTTGCTACACTACGCAATGGAAACACAAAACCAGAGAAGACTACATAATTGTGTTGTTTGAGCAGCTTCATGCACACCATCACTGATAATGAATTTTAGTTCACAAGTTCCAATTAAGAAAAATATTTCAAAAGTTTCAAACAAATAGAAATATTAAAAAAGTTCTTATACCTACATTATTGTTCATGAAAATATCAATAAAGTTGGGTTATTGAAGTTAAATTTAAACAACATATTATGCTATATTTCATATCTCAAGAGTGAAATAAGAATTGGCTTTCAGAGACAATTCAGAAATCTGAAAATTTCAAAAGAGCAACTACAAATTTCTATTTATTTTTAAAAATACTTATATGCCTGCACACGTCTGGTTGGAAGTGATAAGCATTTTCACTTGCTATTTCCAATATACAAACTGGCAAATGCATCCTAATAGCATATGGTAAACTAGCCTTTAACACAACCACAGACTCATTCCAATAAGCAGGATATATTTAAGGACAAAGAGTGGAAAATTGTGTTCAAATTGTTTTTAAACAGAGGTGACAAAATATATATCCTTATTTTATAGTTTCTATCTATAATTTTCACCAAAATTATAGGCCTTCTGCAAATTGGCTAACATGTTTGTGTTTGCCAAGAAACCTCTCTTGAAAAAGGAATGAGTCAAAACACCTCCTCCAAAAACAAACATTAGAACATCAAAAAGAACTGGTATTCCCGAATAGAAATCTTAACTAGTTCAAAGTTCAAATATTTTTTAAAAAACACAGTGAAATATTTTCTATAAATTATATGACTGTTAAAAATATTATAGCCTTTTTGAAAATTATTATGTTTTAGTGATTTTAATGTTAAAACTTTTAGTCATAAAATATTAAGACAAATTAAGAAACCACAATAAATTATCCCTAAATTAAAAAAAAATCACTTTGGAAGGAAATATCTAATTCTTACTCAAATGTCACTAATCTTAATCTCTAGCACACATACCTATAACAGACTTAAGTCATCGATCCACTGACATCCCCATACATTCAGAAATCACCTTCTAAAAATAACCATAACAAGCATTTTCACTGGTTTCCTCAAATTTGAACAGATGACGAAAATGTTGACTTCACACAACTTACCAATGTTACAGTGATGCAGGACCTGGCAACCGTAAGAGCTTCAAGACCAGTGAGGCCACTCTGCTTGCCTCAGACATTAGCAACTCACGGCTTACGTACAACTTGGCCCATTGTCATTTCTCTTCATTGTTTAGGACCTGAGTTCATCCGTGACTGTGACCTGCCTACCTTACAGTCTTACCAGTGAATGCATTTTAAATAGTTTATCACTGCTTTTGGCATTTAGTGACTACTTATCCACTTAAAGACTGATACCAGGCACACAGTGGACAAGGTTGCTTCTATGTCTCAGATGTAAAGATGTGTATTACAAAGTTTTGCTTCAGAGGAAATGAATATGTGGGCAAAAATCTTTAAATGTTTAAAAACAATATCAATTACATTTTAGAAATACATGGTGGCTTGTCGTTAATTTTCAAATTTGTATATATAGACAAAAAGCACAAACACCCAGTAAGCAGCACACTGTGGTTCTGTTCTGAGACATCCCACTGTGTAAAATGGGCATTAAATGGTTAGAGTCTGAAGAAGCTTGAGAAAGGAAGGTTAAGAAGCAAAATAAATAAGGAAATAAATAAAACAAGCACTTAGAGGCAAGCAACACATGCAGAACAAGCAAGAGATTAGTGTACATGAAGAGGCAACTTACATGGCTGTTGAGAAGAGAGCTTCTGTGAGTGGACAGACCGTCAGACTTTTGCAGCGTCTCAATCGCCATTTCAATCTGATAATAGATGTCATTAAAAAAAGGGCTCAAGACAAGATAGTAATAAAAGGCTGACCAGAAATTTTTGATCGATTCTTAAAGTCTAATTCATTCTTCAATGATGGCTAATGAAGAGCTATCACTAAATGTGTTTTCCCCAGCTTTCCCATCCCTAGAGAATGAAATATAATATGCACATTAATAATAAGCTCAATTATAATAGTAAACCTTTCTGAACACTTTGTAATTATAATCAGTATGAAGATCCAAGGATCAAGAACCCTGGTAGATTGTTCTAGTTATAAGAAAATATTTTTTACTTGCATAGCTCAAGATGTGGGATATTGGCCCCTCTCTATATAGCCTCACTCCTAAAGCATATTTAGCATTTGTTCTGTTCTGCCACAAAATGAAAATCATAAAACAAAATCGGAGTTTAATACGCATTAGTATTTTAATGCAAGTTACAAAAACCCTTCATTATGCCTAAAAGCTAGTAAATCTACACATTCCTCTTTTACTCTTGCATTAAAATTTGGGAGGGAAAGGTCAAGTGAGCATTCAGATGTGACTATGGTCTCTATATTATATTTTAGGACATGATGATGAAGCAGAAATATTAGAATTAACAGCAGAAAAAAGAGAAGAGAAAATAACTCAAAGCCAACAAAAAAATGGACAAGAACAGAATCAGTTACATTCAGTGTAACCCCAGCACACCATGGGCAATCACAAAAGTCTCCTTAAGCAACAGCTTCCAGGGACAAATCTGAGGCACTCTTGATGACCTCACATGTAAGGCAGCTGTCCTTCAGTTCACGGAACTACTGCACATTCTATTGAGCCAGGGACTAAATAGCATGCATTTGGGAACTGAGTTATAGTAAAAGCAGCTAATTAAAAATATCATTATACAATCTGAGAAGACAAATTTCATTAATTTTTCACACTATGAATCCATCAACAATTCAGTGTAAGCATTTATCAATTCATAAAGATGTACAATAATTTATTCTATAGTTAGCTATTTTTGAGATCCTAAAACCAGGCAAAGTGGCTTTTAAATTATTCCCTACAGCAGTTGAGATGGTAACAAAATTAATATTAAACTCAAAAATAAACAGAAAAAAGTGATATTGTGTATGTTAAAAATGATCTCATTTTAGAATACACAATGTGAATGTAAGGAGCAAATATTTTTTGCCAAGATGCTAAACTAAAAAAGCTTGGTATTCTATCTCATAAAAGGATAAATAAGTGCTCTTATTTTCAAAGGGAAAGACAGAGCATAAGATAGCTGAAACATTCATGTGATTATAAATCATTTCTAAGAAGAATTTGCTCAAAATTGTACTTTGCTAGAATGCCTACAGTTTCTTTAAAGTCTGAGGGTAGGAATTTTGAGGTGAAACTTCAGTTTAATAAACAAATATAAAACGATCCCTGATTTTTGACTTTATAGGTTTACATGAAAGGTAAAAATTACCAGAATTCTAACAGCTGAACCCCGCTCAGGAACACTCCTTACCAAGGGTTTCTGAGGCAGCAGCTTCAGTCCGATCTGTCAGCAATGGGTTTCCTGCGGGAACTATTTGTGTTGCTGACATGGCTACAATGGCAGCGCCTGATTCCAGCTGATGCCCTAGGAGGCCAGGTGCTCAGGCAATGAGCCACTCCACTCAGCCTGTCTTCTGGTTCTGTCTTATTTTTTTGTGTATGCTGAAGACTGCTCCCAGTCCTTCTACTGAGCTATATATGGTGGTCCCCTTGAGCCATTTAACAAGAAACCTCGGGAAGGTGGCAAAATGGCAGGGAGAAACAGATCCAACTGCATCTACCAGGACAGATACACTGCCTGTCTTGGGAGTGCTGATCCTTCAGAATACAACTTCTGAGAATATGACCAAAGCTGTGAACCCTCAATTCAGACAAACTGTACTTAAAAAGAGTTATAGACCTGTACACATTTTTCACTGTTTAAATATTCTCTGAGTTTAAAATTCATATTGAAAGAGACATATTCCCTAGTGAAAAACATGAGGAAAGTGTATTCTAGGAAGCAAGAGCTGAAGCAAGTTAGGAAGCAAAACGGCACAGGGTGTGCTCATATTAGGAAAATGAATGCAGCATGTGGTGTACACACACAGACACACACACACACACACACACACACTCCTATGAGTTAAACCAAGAAAAACAAAGTCATTAATATTTTGAGGGAAAGTGTATGAATGTTTGAAAGGTAATTTCAAATAAAGGCAGGAAGTGGGTTTTGATTAGAACAGTGGGTTTTGTTGCTCATGGGGCTAAATGTACCTTACAAATGTTTATGAATTGAATAGAAACTTTAAGCTCGAGTAACATGGAAAACTATCTACATTCATATTCCAGACTTCCAGACACATCATTACAGGAAAGCTGAACATTTTCTTTGTAGCATGACAAAAAAAAAGGGGGGGGGGGCAGCAGGGCATAGTTAGAAAACCAAAGCTATCTGAGCAGGCAGCTGAGAGCAGTTTACGATGACCACAATCAGAGAAACCTGATCCCAGCAGAAAACACAGGCAGAGCCCCTCACTGTTAGTTTTATTGTGACTGACTCAACTTGTGAGAAAAGGGAAGTTCTACAAAAAATTGTATTTGGCATTGGGGTACCTGGAGGAATGGGAAAGGGGGTGGTTAAAGCACATACAGGTGTCACTTACCTCCTTCATCAAACATGAGATTCTCAAAAGACATGACTCCACTGAATACTTAAATGGGTTTTCCTCAATTGGGAAAAGGAACCATAGGAAGCCTGGAGCACCTGTTAAAAGCTACACTGGTTTATTGGCTTCCGGGCTAGAAAATTGAATGGCCACTATGACGGAAGAGCTTGACTGTTAACAGACTGTACTAAGAAGCACCCATGATAGCACAGTGCACCTCGTGTGTGTGTGAGGCTGTTAAGGAGGAACAACTAAGGGGAAGACAGACTCAAAATGTAACAGGTCTTCTCTAGGTTGAGAGTCCAGAGAGATAAAAGAGGGAGACAAGAAAGTTCACACTGACACAGTCAATCTCTTTCTCTTTCCTGTTCACTGGAGAGTAGACTGCTCCAACACATTCTCCCATACATGATCACATGCCTACACTCAGAAAGAAAGCCCGGCATGGCTGCACGCCTGCCTCTAACTCCACTGCTGTCAGGAGTGGAAACCAGAGGATTACTGGGTTTGCTGGCTGCCAGGCTAGCTGCAGGTTCAATGAGAAACTGTTTCCAAGGAATAAGGCAAGAGAATGATAGATCAGGACACCCAGTGGCATTCTCTGGCCTCTGTGGGAACAAAAGGCACCCATATTTCAAAATACATGTGTGCATATACCACATATATAAACCAATACACACACACACACACACACACAAACACAAACACACACACACATACACACATACAAACACACCACCACCACCAACAACAACAGTAATAACAGCAACAACAAAATTGAAACACAAAAACAAAAGAAACTGTATTTTGCATCTGGAAAATAGGATACTTGTTTGCACCTAAGGAACTGGCTGAACCCCACCCATTCTAAGGCTCAAGGGTAGGAAAGTTTCAACTCATTTGAAAGGCTTGAGGCAACATCTGCTGTGGCCCTTGCTGCACAGGACTTCCTAGGAAAGAACTTGGGTTTTTATTCAGCCCGCTGGGCATTCTGAAGCTACTGTAGCCAGAGGACAAGAGACCCAGGCTGGCATCCGACCCTGATACGCCCACATGATGCTAGTTTTGCAGGCATACAGAATACAAGAGCTCCAAGGCCATGGAGGATTCTATCCAAATTTCAATGGGGTCTGGGAAGCCAGACAAACCTGTAGCAGGGTCAGAATCTCTACAGGTAGCTCTTGAGGGGGCAGACTTGATGATGGTGAAGAAGATGAAATGGAGACCCCTGAGAGTATGGTACTCTAGGAACACGGAATGTCTTTGGAAGAAAGCTTCCATCAATGAGTACAGATAACTTTAACAAAGAAAAAAAGGTAATGAGGGCAAGCAGTAAGGCTGCACGGTCCAGGCTACCCAAGTGCTATGGAGTTTACATCACCATACAACGCCAAAGCTGACAGGCATGGGAGCTCTGGGACTTGACGCTGCCATGCTGGGTCTCAGATGTGTTTGGGTCCTGTCCCTCTTGACTGCACTCTTATTTATGCAACTGCATGCAGTCCGCAGTACGTTTTTTAACTTCCAAGTTTGCCTTCAGCCCCAGAGACTTGAAACTCGGACTTTTGAGCAATCTTAGAACTATTAACTTTGGAGACTTTTTTGGATAGAGTAAATGCATTTCATATTATGAGGTAGTCATAAGCTTTTGGAGAACAGGGGCAGAATGTAATCATTTGAATATGAAATGTCTGCAGAGGCTCATGTGTTGAATTCTTGGTTGTTAGCAACTGGAAGCATTTTGAAAAGTGGTGGGAATGTAAAGGGATAGAATGTAAAGAAGAAGGAAATTGAGTGTTCATTCTTGAAGGTGCTGAGTGGTTTTTGATTGCCTATTCTTTCTGCTTCCTGGCCATCATGAAGTAATTTACTCATTCATAAGCTCCTGGCATCATGGGACCAGGTGACCACAGGCACAAACTGTGAGTTATAATAAATTTCCCTTCATTCTCTTTCTCCTCTCAAATGTTTGTCATAGCAACAAGAATTTGCTTTATACAGTCACACATGTAGTAGAAATGACCATGTGGCAAAAAGGATACTTACATGTGGCTCCTTTAATTCAAGAAAAAAATGCATGTACTTTATAAGGTGGACAACACGTTTAAAAATATATCAAATGTGCAAATGTTGCAGGAGACTAGAAGAGTAAGTAAATATTCTGAGTTCTCAGGAATTGGGATTTGACAATCAGAAGTAAGGGAGATAAAGTACTTTCCATTCAGCATTGCTCCTACAAAGATTCAACAACACCTCAAGGAAGTGGACACAGTATTTATCATCTAATAAGAAAGAGAGAGAGCATAACAA